GGTGTCCTGCTGAGTTTAACACCTAACCCAGGGGTGTCCACACTCGGTCCTGGAGGGCTGGTGTCCTGCGGAGTTTAGCTCCAACTTGCCTCAGCACACCTGCCTGGAAGTTTCTAGTATGCCTAGTAAGAGCTTGATTACTTTGGTTCAGGTGTGTTTAATTGGGGTTGGAGCTAAACACTGCAGGACAGTGGCCCTCCAGGAGCAGGACTGGACACCCCTGACTTAACCAAATATGCCTTTTGCTTGCAAATTACAGACAGATGGGTTCAACTGGGATTGGTAGTAAAGTTTCCAGGACACCGGCCCCCCAGGACTGGAGTTGTTATAGAGACCTGACCTAAGACTGCCTTATAATTCACACCCTGGTGAACATTTGTCAGAATGTTGTCAATCAAGGCTTGTTAAAGCAAATAGTAGTCTGAAATTGGATACAATTGATTAGGGCATTACTTTTAATACATGATTTGTATTACACTGGCCATACCTATAGATCCGTTGTTTGGGATGGCGTGTTCTGGAGTAACAATTAGACAGAAGCACAGAGACACAACAGTTCAAATAAGAGGTCAGAAGTCATTTTCAGTAATAATTACAAACAATCCAGATAGATCCCAGTGTATTACATTTAGTAAAGAATGAACTGATGATCAAATTCAGATATGGCTAAAATTCCTATAAAAACTTCACCTGCTTTATTTGCTGCCGTTTCTTTAGTGGTCACTGATTCAAACACTCCCAGCCCTGTGGTGTCTGGATTTGGATGTGAAGTTGTCAACTCTATATGCGTATCACGGTTTGTCTGATCAGTGTGGTTCTGTTCCGCAGGGCTCTGTGTGGGACTGGTCTGCATCCAGAGAACTGGAGTAGAAGACTCGGACACAGATGTGACTTCAGATGTTGAATTTTCAGAATCTTCCCCTCCAGCATTTGGTCGGTGTGTTGTGACTTCTGTCAAATTTAAATTATGCACAACTAAGTGTATATCTGCTCATCAAACATTGATTGTATGAAAAAAGGGTCCATCTCTGAAACAGCTTTTCAACCTGTCGTCTTATAGATATTTACATGAATTTATTAGACAACCAGAGTTATTATCAAAAATAAACATTCACAGCTTAGCATTTATTTGGTCATGTTTTTACAGAAATAAATCCGTCTGTGCAGGGATGGAAAGTGTGACAGTGTTTTTCCTGAAACTTGTCTTTAGAACAAGTAAAACTGATCCAGATAATAACACTGGTCAGCAGAACTCGTCTGCTTCAGAGATAAAATATGATATTTATTGTGCATTTTGATGTGCTGAATTCAAATACGACAATTAAAAATGATTGGCTGCTGTTTTCAAGATATTTCAGTTTTTACATTTTACCTGTCACCTCTCCCATTTAAGTAACACTTTAAAAATCAGCAAAAGGATTATACAAATAAAACTGGTCACACTTTATTTTAAGGTCCAATTCTTGCTATTAACAAACAACTGCAACGTTTGCCTCAAACTCTTGCTGCTTATAAATATTTAGTAAGGTAGTTGTTAAGTTTAGGTTTTGGGTAGGATTAGAGATAAGCAGGTATAAATGTATAAGAATTATATAAGTATATAAGTACTAATAAACAGCCAAGATGCTAATATGCATGCTAATAAGCAACTAGTTAATAGTGAGAACTGGTCCCTATACTAAAGTGTTACCATAAAATTTATAATGAAACAAAAGGCCAAAACTATTATGTGTCTACTCTGCACTTCTTGTATTCATTAAATGGAGCATCTCTTGTCACAGATCAGCAACAGTCTGCAAGCACTGATGGGCTCCATTTGCCCTGACAGTGTTTCTCCATTGTTTAAACGGGAAATCATTCGCTGTGCTTGTCGCTGACTGCTCTGTGGGGGGCAAAAATCTACATTAAATTTGCTGTGCCGAAGACTATGCAGAAGACACTGCAAATTTCATCTAGATTTTTTTCCACTGAAGGCATAGATTTCCTTTTCCTGTGTCGCAGTGTGTGTGTGTGTGGGGGGGGACTCAGAATCAGTCCATTTTGGTAACATTTATTTCAGAAGCATCTTGGCTGTAGACCAGTGTAAAAATAATGTTACATGTAAAATATAAAAGTGAATCCTGTGGCATACAAAATGCATACCATTTAAAATGTTATTCCTTAGTAACTTGTACCTGTAAATGCCGAGTCGCCATCTGTTTTGTTTAAACTCTCAGGGTCAATTTTAGCTGTGCAATTCTTCTCTGCCGTATCTATTCGAAATGCAATGTTTTGTTAAAAAAAAGATGATCGATCATGTGTTGACTAAAACTTACAGCATGTTGCACAAATCAAACCTTTAGCATCAAAACAGAAGGCGTCATATTTTTTTCTGTCTGGAGTTTTCCTGATGATGCCGGTTTGGTTGCCAGCACAGATTCTATTTGGCGTCTGACGGACTATCACCACCTCTGTGCTGTTTATCCATCCATACCTGCAGACAAAACGTATGTTTATATTTCGGTGGAGCTCATGTTAATAATGATCCTGTATGTTTAATTGTCATTTGGTTATGTTCAGCTGAATGTAAGAACCTGCATGTCTGTAGTCCTTTATTGTAGGCTTTTTCCACCTGCTCCAGACTGGCTAATGAAGAGGATAAATGCTCACACAATGTCTCGGCCTTCTCAAACTTCAGACTATAGCGTTCTCTCCCCTCCACATGAAACACTCCAGCATAGCTGCAGCTCCGTGAGCGCACTACAACAGGAGAAACAGCACATTAATGATAGTAATTAATGGATTTTATTCATAAAGTGCCACTCTAGAAGCAAGATTTTCTGAAATGCATAACAGAAGAAGGGAGACAAAGGAAACAGTAATAGAGACTACAGGTTTAGTGAAGATTTTAGCTTCAATCTTAAAGAGGGAAAGAAGCTGACAGCACATAAAGATCAAGAGCTTTGGGATGATTAATAACAGGTGTTACGCTGCTGATGGAGTAGGTGAGACATGGATCTAATCGCAGGCTGATTTCTTTAAACAAAACAACATGAGGACATTTCAGAGAACAAGTAGAACACAGGAAGATGAAGGTAATACCAACACACAACTATTTAACAAATGTTAAAATATGAAATTGACAAACAACAACTGAAACTGAGGGTGAACGCATGGATCTGTATACATAGATGCCTCATTAGTGACTGTTTCTATGGACGAAACAGTTAAAGTCATTCTTTAATTTTATGTTTCATTTTCAAAGCTTAATAAAATATTGGTTTCATATTATTTGACTCTTAAGGGTAGTAGGGTACCTTGACAGGCAAATATATCGTAATGGGGAGCGAGAGAAGGCAGGCAGAGGCAAAGATCGAACTGCAGGAGTTTTAATGAAAGTATCAAAATAAACAAAAAAACAGAAACACATGGAGCATAAGAACAGAAACATGAGCACATGACAACCTGACTACAAAATGGCACATGGGACAGGAAATAATTAAAAAGCCCTAAGAAGACAAAAGGAACATGTAACATTAAATCCAAAAGTTGCAATCAGATGCACGTACCTCAACACAAAAATCCTAAACAAGGTGATAATCAACATTTTTTTCAAGATGCAATGCATGCTTTGTTCATTGTGAAATTGTTTGTTCAGGCGACTTAAGATTTATTCATTTTTGTTATTAACATGTTTAGAGTATTCTTGTTTAGATTACACAAAATAATAAAATGACTCCACTTTCTTCAAGATACTTTTTACATTTGTTAGGAGAACACTTTGCACTTTGCCTTTCCTTGCACCACTTTTGGTAGGTCCTAACCACGGCATACCAAGAACAGCACACAAGACGTTTTATCGCTCTACCCAGTCATCTAGCCATCACTATTTGGCTCTTGTCAAACTATTTTTTTCCTGCTTCCAAGGGCTGCCTGTTGACCTGCTGCCTACATCCCACCGCTTGACAGATTCCATTCTAGTGATAAGATCAATGCTATTCACTTTACCTGTCAGTCCTTTTAATGTTGTGGCTGATCAGTGTAAATAATGTTGTAAACAGGAATTCAAAACCGTTTAAGGAGTGAAAACAAACATCATCTCTCCCTTGTTATAAACACTATCAGCTTCCAAGACAGCGGCATCATACTTCACTACAGCATTAATACTTTTTGCACATGACGTCACAAATGGAGCCCCCTTTTAAGTTTAAAAATATGCCTGCACAACACGTCATCAAAATTTGTTTGAAGGAGACATGCAGCAGACCCAATGCATGGCAATGAGTTGCCGCTTCTCATTTCCCTTTTTTAGGGTTCCGTGTTTGCAGTCATAACCCTAGAGGTTCCTATTCAAAGTGGAACTGTGTTGACAATATGGGGAACGAATGCCCACTCACCACTCACTTGCCTCACTAGACTAGCTATGCAGACCATAGTGGGCATAGAATACCCTGACTCTACAGATCAACCAGCTAGAGTCAAGACGCGTCAACCTCCAGGGAGCAATATGCTTCATAGACTGCTTAGAAGAAACAGTCCCTAAGCCAGTATCGTTCCAGTAGTAAAGGGAAAATACCCACGCTTCTACACTCTATAGCCAGGGAAGTCATTTACATTTACATTTAGTCATTTAGCAGATGGTTTTATCCAAAGCGACTTACAAATGAGGAAAATAAAAGCAGTCAAAACTAACAAAAGAGCAAGAATATATAAGTGCAAATGACAAGTCTTGGTTAGCCTAACGCAGTACATGTAGCAAGGTGTGTATATATATCTATATATATACATATATTATACACACACACACAAACAAAGAAAAACAAGTAGATAGGACAGAAAAAATAGAAAGCTAGTCTTTGTTTTTTGTTTTTTGTTTTTAAAGAAAGTAAATATAGATAAAGTAGAATTAAAATAGAAAAGTCCTGGCCTTTACAACCTTCCTTCCTTTGTTGCAGGGCACATGTAAGCCTTATAAGGCCCCAAGAGCAGAGCTCTAAAGGAAAATGCTCAGCTATGTCAGCACCTTGACGAAGCCCTTAGGGCATAGTTGGAGAGGAAGGTAAACTAAACAAAAGGGACTCTCGTGAGTTGCCCATCATAATTTCACTCACCCTGCTCCTTGTAACACCAAGCGAAGTGGTTTAATTCTAAATCTAAAACAAAATCCTACTCAGTCCCTGTAAAACCAGAGCCCAAACCTCCTAGACAGGGAGGCAGACAGGAGAAAGGCAGGCTGCCCTTTGCCAATAACTCTCATCCACCATATTTTAACCCCAAGGAGGCTACAAAGAAACTTACAGTATGCCCTGCTTAAAAACCCTAGTACACTGGGGGGGAACAATTCAACTCTGACTTAAATAAAGGCACTTCTCTAGACCTCCAACGCTAACTATAGTATGCGATAGATGAGGAGGGACGCCCTGCAGGCCGACTTGTCTCTATTTGCCAGGTTCTTGAACATGGGTCATACTATAGAGGCCTATGAAGCCACCAAGGGACCATACATCCCTTCTTCAAAACCCAACAGTAGTTGGGGAGGGAGGTAAACGAAGTACAGGGAATCCACATTGGCCTAAATAACTCCGTTCACCCTGCATCAACCCTAAGGGGGTATCTACCAAGCAACCATCCACAGGGGAGCAGGTATTTAAACCATATTTAGCAAGAAATTTAAACCATTCTGTAGAAGGCAGAAGGCATTTTTTGTGCAAATTCGGCAATGGTTGTTTTCGATCAGGTGGGGGCCACGACTTCAACCCTCAGTATTTTTTTTTTACTGCCTCAAGAGATAGTACCAGTCAGTAGTGGGAAGGCCTGGGATCCAAGTCCACCGTTACGAAAATTAACCATGGTTTTATTGTAGAATAAGTGTAGTAACCATGTTTTTTTGGCATATTGTTTATCATTTGTATAATCAGTTTTACTACAAATACCATGGTTAAACTATGGTTAGTGTAGCAAAACCTTGGTTAATTTGCGGTTACCATGGTTTAACTATAGTAACCATGGTTTTTTGGTTTTATTTGTAGTAAAACCATGGTTAATTTTCGTAAGGGCAATCCAAGTTTAATAATAGAAACATTGATGTATTCAAAAGTTTATTTTATGTTATATTGATATAATCATAATTTGTATTCACTTTCCATTAATTATGCAATTTGATGAGAATGAACTTCAACCGCTGTCTACCTCTCTCTCTTCCAGGATTGATGACTCACTGAAACACAATTCTCTGCAGATCCATCAGTCAATATTGTTTTATCATAATTCCCTATGTTTCACAATTTTACTGTGTTTGATCTTAGTGTATGGTTTATGTGCTTTATGCGTTTTGGGGTATTATTTATAAGAATAAAGTATGTTTACATGAGAAATAATAAACCGGTGTAGTTAAAACACCCCACATATTTGTTATTATATTATATACAAAATCCACAATAGAACAAATACAAACACTCAAAGTGAGTTCTGAGCAGAAATATTGTATTAATCTCAAACTGTGTGCAGTTTTCACTCTGAAACATGTTCTGAAAAGCCCTGCATGGATTGAGGCGCCTGAACCAGGGTCACATGTCCTAGATGTGTATGTCACATAAGTGGAAGTGCTGACAGCGAAAGTCCATTTCTGATTTTATTGCTGTTTTCAATGTCATGTTGCAGTGTTTTACTTGCCAATGTTTTCACGCCCCCTGTGTTTTGCTCATCTGAAAACAAGCTCTGTTTGTATGGCTGCAAACGGCCTCAAACACCTTGAAATGCAACAGCAGGTAAAGAGAATCAGTACTGTACATGAATGTGTGTGTCTGCTGCATGGCCTGGTCAAGTCGAGCTGTGTCTGAAGCGACAGCTACAGTACATGCTCACACACAGCGAGATACCATTTAAGATTGTGTCAATATTGTGTTCTGGACAGACTTTCTTAGTAACTTCTCACTTGTCCGATGTCTGATTCACCTTGATTGACATTTTTTTGTTGTTTTTAGGCTTTCAATGGCTGTGTGCGCTCTACAACACACAGAGATGCCAACATGTCAAAAAATGTATGGACCCTTATGTATGTATGTATGTATTTTTGAAAAGTCTGTTTCACTCATGTTATGGGTCAGGTTGTTTGGTTTTGTTTTGTAGTGGTTTTCTTTGTTTCTACAGGTTACCAGCTAAGGATCCACCTGTTCTTAATTGGAGAACTGCGTATTTAAGAGATCTGTCCTTGTTTGGAGAGGAGTCTGGTTCCTTTCTTAGAGCATCCTGCAGTTGTGCTCTGCTGGACAGCTAGACCATATTGGAAATTACCATTACCTTTATTTATTTATATATTTTTTACATTATTAGTTTATTTGTTGTTATTAATTCATTATCTTTATTTGGAACCCCTAGACTAAATAAATATTGTTTAATATGATATTTTTTAACGCAGTTCCCATATTTTTTGGTGACTTCCTGAGCCGGAATGTAACACTCAGTTTTGATACTGTTTAAACCCCTTAACTGTCACCCCCCATTTTTTAAAATAGGCATGAAAGTGCACTATCCAAACTTTAAATTGTTGTAATTTATAAACACTTTGAAATACAGACCTAAGGTTGGTCTCTTTTTAAAGAAGACAAATCAGCAGATTATGAATTTTTCAAAAAATTGAAGTATCAAAAAGTTAAAGAAGTTTACATTTATTGTAAAAAATACACTGTAATAATTTTATTTTATTTTATATATAATAAATATTTTACATAATAGGTTTTACTCTAAAACTGCTATAAAAT